AAAGAATTATAATACCTTTTATTCTTATACAGATAGTACACAGTTGTACTTGTCTCTTCCCTCTAATCTAGCCCCTGTTCACACACTGAGCTGCACTGATGAGATTAACTGCTGGATGTCTAGATATTCTTTTATAGAACTGAACAGAAACAAGACATTTATATTTGTTGTTACTCCAAGGAAATCAGGAATCTTGTTCTGGAGAAGTGGTGAGTAATCTAATGGAGTGGTCTAGGTTTGCAAATGCCACAGCAGTTACTTGCCTGACTGCATTGTGCTAACTGTAAAGTTTGGACGGCTGTTGCTTTGGAGTATTTGGTTCCAGTGAATGAGATCTTCATGGTTAAGCTCACAAAGAAGGTTTGGACAACTACGCTTCTAGCTTTGTGGGACTAGTTAGCATCGAGGTTCCTCTGTTCCAGCATGTCTGCCCCAGTGCAGAAAGCAAGGTCTCATAAAGGCATGGTTGGATTAGTTTGGTGGGGAAGCACTTGACTGGTTGGAACAAAGCCTTCACCATCAAACACCTTTAGGTTGAACTGGAACAGCTGGCATGCCAGATGGATGAATGGACAACAAGGAATTGCAAACAGATCAAAGTATCATTAAAAATTGCGCGCTATAACACTGTTTTATTTGTTTTTTTTAAGTAGACAGATTTTACTGATGTTATATTTTAAATTGTGCCTCAACAAAGACTAATTCTACTCTATCTTCACATCCTCAGATAAGTCGCTTGTGCCCAGCCAGTGAACTGGACAAACCCACGTTGAGGCGCATCTTTGAGGCGGTGGGCCTCAATCTTCCAGCTCGGCTTCTGGTCACAGCAGTCAGAGGGGACGAGAACTCTGGCTTACCCCCAGATGAGCTCCTTTCGCTGGGCACGGCTTTGCTGGCTGCCCTGAGCACAGAGCCAGACATGGCCTCCAGTCCCCAGCTCCTCACCACCATCCCCCTCCTGCTGGGCATCTTAGCAAATGGTCCTGTATTTAACCAGCAGAAACGGGAAGCCCGGGAGCAGCACAAAGTAGGACAGAGTCCAGACGGTGAAGTCCAGTCAGCAAACATTTCAAACCCAGACTGTAATCCTGCCAGTGTGGCACAATCTGCAGAAGAGACTGAGAACAGCAAGAAAAAAGGCGATGATGGCAGTGAAGCAAACGGAGTGTCAACGTCTCAGGAGAACCCTCCCTCTACTAGCCTTGATGCGGCCTTGGCTGCTGACTGCTACCTGGTTTTGACAGTTGTGTGTGCCTTACCCAGAGGCCCGGAGCAGCTCCTGAGCAGGGGCGCCATCTCGGCTTTGTGCCAAGCGGTGGAACTGAACCAGACTCTGAGCCACGAGAAGGGGCTCACCTTGCTGGGCTCGCTCCTCTCTGGTAGAAACAAGGACAAAGCATGGAGCAAACACACTCCAGAGCTCCTCTCGCTGCTGGTCAGACTCTCCAAAGACTTCTGCGAGTCCACAGACGAAACCAGGTTAGGCATGTGTGGTCAGTTGGCGCAGTTTCTGCCCCCAGCAGGCGTGGCAGTGGAGAGTGAGGAGCTGAAGGCAGTCGTGGGCCGTTTATGGGAGATACTGAGACCTATGGTGCAGGCTAAATTGACACCGAGACATATCGGATCAATCCTGGTCCTCAGTGCTTGCCTGCTGGATTTATATGGCTGGGAGATGGCGGGACCTCCGAAGTTCTGTTGCTTACTGGTGAACCGGGCCTGCGTGGAGGTCAGAATGGGTTTGGAAGAACTGCCTGGTAATGATTTGACCCCTGAGGTGCAACACACAATAACAGGTAGTGTACTTAATCATAATAGTATGTTGATTGGAACTTTAAGTTTATTATTTTCCAGGATGACGCTTCATAAAAAAGGAAAAAGGTTGATTAAATCTTGCTGTAAAGCTTTCTTACTTCAGTTTAATCTTAGAGCTGAAGTTGACTTGGAATCTCATTTCTGCTGTATGATTTGCATGTAACTGTTCACTCAGCTGATTTAAAGTAGACATCTTGGTGTCCTCAGTTGCATGTTTTGGTTGTCATGTAACGGTGTTTCTTGTTGGGAGCAAGTACAATTGAAGTTTAATTAAACAAACAGGCATCATCTGACTCCTTAAGTCATTTTCTAGGTATTGAGATCTCATCAAGGTTAACCACCTCAGTCATTTAATCTGAACTGTGCTCCTCGTAGGCTGTTACCGAATCATGGAGGCGGCCATAGAGCAGGCCTGCAGTCCGGGAGTCCCGCAGGCTGCTGCACCTTCTCAGAGCTCAATCGCTACCCTCAGTCTGCAGCAGAGCAGGCAGGTCCTCGGGGTCCTGGAGGAGGCCTTCTCTGGCTTGATGTACTTCTTGCAGCAGGTAAAGAGATGATGAGAAAACTAACATAACAAGCTATCTGTTGGTGATACTAGAAATATGATCATTTATTGTGCACAAAATTATTTCTGTTGTGCTGACGTGTAGAGCCTAGGAGTAAAGAGAAAATTTAAATGTGAATAAATGACTCGTTTATTCATGATATTAAAGGTGGAGCCGAGCCGCTATGGCGACCCTTTCGTTTTCGCCACATTCCGCTCTCTGTGCTCGTGGTTGGCTGAGGAGACTTCCTGTCTTAAGGAGGAAGTGACTAAACTCCTGCCATTTCTGATAAACTACACCCGAAGCCACCTGCAGGGTGGGATCTTGGAGCATAGCCTCGCTGACTGGATGGTCAAGATGTCTATTGGTGAAGACAGGGGCGCGTGGACGGGCAGAGAGGCTCTCAGGTAAAGATGAAGTCTGAGAGGAGATTGGTAACATTTAGAGAAAATCTGCTGGTTTTATGTTGCACTGCCTCTTTTCCTTTTCCCTCCTCCCTAGGTATCTCCTCCCAGCTCTGTGCCACCTGTCAGCAGAGGAAGTTCCCAGGAAGGTGTTGCTCGATGTTGACACCCCGGCCCTGCTGGTGGACTTCCTGTCTCAGAGCTGGACTTTCCTCAGGGGAAAAACCAGTGTCGCATCCACAAGGGATCCCAGCATGGAGACAGCCTGCTCTGCTTTGCTCAACTTCACTGTTACAGAGCCAGAGAGAGTCAGGTAGCTGGTTTATCATCATAATCATCAATGTGACAAGCAGACCGTCTGTTTCTGAGTGTCTGCCAAATGTTTATGAGCAGTACTTATCACACCATCTGTGTTTAAAAATGCAAACCTGTAAACTTATTGTCTTCTAGAAAGGACTCGTGTTTCAGAAGCCTTGAGGCCCTTCTGAGTGAAGCACTCCCCCTCTTGGTGAATAAGCCCCGCCTCCTGGTCCTAACAGCAAATTGCTGCACTCTGGGACTCATGATTGGCAGATTAAAGGAAGGAGGTGAAAGTGGCTTTTGGTTCTTTATACTCTTAGGTTTGTGGGGGGTTGTAATTTATTTTTGCATAACCTTCAAGTTATTTAATCTAGAAACACTCTGTATAGAGATTCTCCATTGACATATCTGCACACTGCTTAAAGCTATTAGCTACTGGAACAACAGCTAGTTTTTCAGGGCTTTCCAGTGTAACCACGGGAATCTATGCCATGACCTCGGTTTTCCTCCACTTAGTGTTGGCTCAAACTG